ACATGTGTGCACCAAGTCACGGCCTCACATCTGAGGGGTGGGTGTGATCATTCCCATTTTAGAGAAGAGGAAACTGAAGATCAAAGAGTTTAGGGAGCATCTCTGAGATCACCCAGCAAGGGGTGACTCAGCCAGGTCTGTCCGGCTCCAAATTTTGGGGACTCCCCCGCAGGGCAGTTGTGGTTTGGTGTAACTGTTGTGGCTGCCTAAGGCAGCAGGCCTGCTGGGTGACCTTGCGCCATTCAACTAACCTTTCTGGGCCTCAGTTTTCATCTCTTTAAGTAGGAGTTTTTTTCCTAGCACAAAGATTCAAGATGCCACAAAATCAGCGACTTGGAACACCTTGCCAAGCCCCAGCCCTCAATCCCCTTCCCTCCATCCCTCCATCCTTTCCCGGCCCCTTCACCTTCCTAGGTTCCGGGACTCTCAGGTCAGGGGTGAGGAATAAGGAACAGAAAGGAATAAAGAACAGAGGGGAATAAGGAACAGAAGGGAAGAACAGAGGAGAGGACTGGGCATGGCCAAGGGGCAGGCAGGGGTGCACATTCCTGGGGAGCAGGGGAGAGGAGAAGGGGTTCAGGGAGAAGAGGCTGTCTCAACCCAAGTCCCAACCATGGTTGTGGAGGAGAAACCAGGATACCCAGGGAGAGAGTTGGGGAGTGTGTTTTGGAGGAGGGAACAGAGAGGCATTCGGGGGCAGCGCTCACAGGCTTGATGTCGCGGTGCAGGAAGCCCACGGAATGGATGGCCTCAATGGACTCCAAGATCTGCTTGCCCAGCCGCAGCGTGGTGCTCAGTGTGAAGGTGCCTCGAGGCTGGCTGCGGCGCAGGTCAGCCAGGTTCCGGCCCTGCGTCGGGGTGGAGGTGAGGGGTAGACTCACCCTCTGCCGCAATCCCAGACACCACCACCATGATACTCTTCCCAGCCTCACCCCAAAGGGTTGTGCCCACTCCCCTTTCCAGGGGCCACAGTCTCCCTTCCCTTCCCCTGCTCTGGAGTCACGCCCATGCTCTTGGAGAGGGGAGGGAGGATGGGCCACGGGGACTCACCTGGAGCTGCATCACTACATAGTTAAACTTCTCGTTCCTGCCACAGCCAATGAACCTGCACACGTGGTCCTTCCCTGAGGGGCACAGACAGAGGTCTTCTAGCTCTTACTCTTTCTTCCTCATTTCCAACCCTAAGATGGGATCCTAGTGCACTCTTGATTCCTGGTCCCTCCAGCGCTGGCCCTGTGAGCGCCTCTCTTGCCACCTCCCTGGCCTTAGCCTCATCGTGTCTCCTAAAATCCAGCTCCATCACTTCCTTAATCACCAACCCAGCCTCCTGCTCCATCACTCTCTTAGACTCCAGTGCCGTCTCTCTTAGACTCTGGCTTCGTCACCTCCCCCTTAGCTCCTGGCTCCATCCCCTCTTCCCTCCACCATATGACATCTCCCTCACTCCAGCTTCTGATCTCATCACTTCTCTTAGCCCCTGGCTCCATCATCTCTTCCCTCCCATCCCCTTCCCCGAAGCCCAAACCTTGCAGCTTCTTGAGCACGGCCACCTCCATCTTGAGGACCTGCTTTGGTTGCTGGGCTGACTCCACCTTGAGGGCCACATTCTCCCTGGTCAGCAGGTCCATGGCCTCGTAGATCTCACCAAAGCCCCCGCCCCCGATCTTTTTCAGCTATGAAGATGAGGGGATAGAGGATGCTCAGGGATCGGTCTGAACAGCTCCTCATCCCACCGGCTGCTGGGTTGCATCCTTCATGGGTGGGGAAGAGGGATAACTTTTTTTTTTTTTTTTTTTTTTTTAGACAGAGTCTCACTCTGTCACCCAGACTGGAGTGCAGTGGTGCGATCTCGATTCACTGCAACCTCTGCCTCCCAAGTTTAAGCAGTGATCGTTCCTCAGTATCCCTAGTAGCTGGGACCACAGGCATGCACCACCACACCTGACTAATTTTTTTATTTTTAGTAGAGATGGGGTTTTGCCATGTTGGCCAGGCTGGTCTCCAACTCCTGACCTCAGGTGATCTGCCCACCTTGGCCTCCTGGAGTGCTGGGATTACAGGTGTGATCCAACACACCCAGACAGAAGGGAGTGTCTTTGAAAAGGAGGATCTCATGTCTCTCTTCCTTGCCCCATCCCCTCAGCACCCCTACCTCCTCTCCTAGGGCCCTGAGACAGACAGCTCAGCTCCTGAACACACACACACACACACACACACACACACACACACACACACACACACACAAGGCCAGATGTCAGCGTGGGTAGTAGGAAAGTGTAAAAGACCTGTGACCCTGTATAGACTGGAGAAAGCCTAATGTGGGATTCTGAGGAGATATTGGGCTGCCCTTGACCTTTTCTTCTCTAGAAGGACAAGTATCATGTTTCCCCATCCCCTGTGTAGACTGAGCAACCCAGTTCCAGGACCTCCCAGCCTCAGGGCAGATCCAACCCCTGGGGCAGCCGGCACTCCCTGGGGTTGGCAGCCACCAAGGAGTCACAAGAAGGAGAAAGTATTTGGGCCAGGAGATTCCGCAAAGGGTGTTTGTGGCCCATGCTCACTGCCAAAGCTCACATCACACCACATCACATCACTCCCTAGGCTCCCGGTCAGATGCCCCAAAGCAGGGTGAGCCTCCTCCATGGGGAAGGGGGCACTGTGGGAGCATGGTGGGACCGGAGCTTGTAGACAATGGAGCAGCAGCCTGACTCCTCAGCCTCCCCATTCAGCCTCCCAAAGCAGGCGTGAGAAAGGCAAGGAGGAGAACCGCAATGAAGTGAAGGAAGAGCTGGCAGGGAGCCGAGCAAAGCTGAGTTCTGGGGAGGGGCTCAAACTCATTTCAGCTCAGAGGTCCAGGAGTCCTGGAGGGTGAGGGCTCTGCTGGCAGGCATGGGGGAGCAGGGAGAAGGTGCCAAGTTCCAAGCTGGGATCGGTTTGGTTTAAGAAAGATGTACATGACCCCAGAGAGGTCCACTGAAAAAAAGAGAAGGATGTAGAGCTCGATGCTCACCCCTTTGGGGAGCTGCCTCAGCAAGGGCCTATCTGCTCTGTGCACTGTCGGAGCCCTCACTCTGTCCTGCTGGCTTGTGGATCTGGTCAACCTGCAGACTCTGGCCGCTCAGGCTCCTGCATCTCTGAACCCGCCCGGAAAGTCTGTTCGGCACAGAGATGCCCTGTGATTGTTTAGTGGTGGTTGACACTGTGGAATGGAGGGAGGAAGACTGGGCAGAGCTGGAGGGCTGGGAGTTCCCAGGTTACCAATGAAATCACTTGAGAAAGAGAGGGACAGGAAGGGAAGATTTAGAAAACAAGCAGAATGCTGGGTGGGAACTTCAAGGTGCTGGTGTCCAGGAAGGAGACGGGGAAACAGGAAGGAGGAAGAGTGAGAAGCCAGAGTTCCTTTCTTCTGGAGGCAAAAGCTAAAGGCAGGATTTCAGAGCCAGGAGGGGACAGATTCAGACTCAAGGGAAACAATGGCATGTCTGCCTCTGAGGTACTTTAAACTCTGGGGAGATGCAAATGTCTTCTAGATTCCTTTATGGTTTGCTTGTGCAAGTGCAGAGGAACGGGCAAAGGGGAGGGAACAACGACGGAATCTTGGTCTCACAGATGGCATCTCAGTTAATCCCCAAAGGCTCCTGGCAACACAGGTGAGGAAGGTCATGTGAGTCCCCATTTTGCACAGAAGGAAAACTGAGACACGTTACGTGCAGTATTTTGCCCCACGTCACACTGCCAGTTAATAGCAAAGCCAGATCTGGGCTCAGTGGCTCACAGCTGTAATCCCAGCATTTTGGGAGGCTGAGGTGGGCAGATCCCCTGAGGCCAGGAATTTGAGATGATCCTGGCTATCATGGCAAAACCCTGTCTCTACTAAAAATAGAAAACATTAGCCAGATGTGTTGGTGGGCGCCTGTAATCCCAGCTACTCAAGAGGCTGAGGCAGAAGAATCACTTGAACCCGGGAAGCAGAGGCTGCAATGAGCTGAGATCATGCCATTGCACTCCAGCCCGGGCAACAAGAAAGAAATATCATCTCAAAAAAAAAAAAAAAAAAAAAAAAAGCTCGGTTTCATTTAAACCCAGGCAATCAAATGCAGAATCCATAATGTTACTGAAACTGTGGACCCATCAGCATCAAACATGTGAGTGCTGAGATTCAAGCCCAGATCCGCCAGGCTCCTAAATCATTGCTAGAGATAAGTAAGTAAGGCTCAGGACAGCCAAGACATTTATGACACCTACTCCCCAATTTCCCAGGGTGCCCGGGGGTATTTCTCTACCACCTTCATTTCCCAGCAGAGCCTATTTCTCCTGCTTTAGTCCCCTCCTTCCTCATCCACCCGCCCCCCTCAACCCATTACAGAACCTCCATAAGACAGGGAACTGGGTGTCTTCACCACCTACTCCACCAACATCCCTCCTCCTTTGCACCACTGCTAGGTCTGACTTATCTGTGAGACAAAGTGACTAGGCCCCTGATACCTTTGAGGGTGTCCATGAAAATGGTTCAATTCATTTTAAAATCATAAGGGAGGCCAGGTGCCGTGGCTCACACCTGTAATCCCAGTACTTTGGGAGGCTGAGGCAGGTAGATCACTTGAGGTCAGGAATTCAAGACCAGCCTGGCCACCATAGCAAAACCCCGTCTCTAGTAAAAATACAAAAATTAGCCGGGCGTGGTGGCAGGCACCTGTAATCCTAGCTACTCAGGAAGCTGAGGCATGAGAATTGCTTAAAACCAAAAGGTAGAGGTTGCAGTGAGCCGAGACCTCGCCACTGCACTCAAGCCTGGGTGACAGAGTGAGACCCTGTCTCAAAAAAAAAAAATAAAAATAAAAAACATTAGGGAAAAAAAATGAACCGTTAAAGAGAACAATCTAGTATATAATATTAACATATTCTTCTTTATACCAGTGCAGTCATAAAATACAATTTTAAGTACTTTCTTATGGAGGAAGGGGCCCATAAGAGTCATAATATGGGGGAAGTTTGAAACTTGTAACCTCGGGAGTTGAGCCACGAGCTGTTGTGCACCCAGAGGTGGAATTAGGGCCCGGCATTCCCTCCTCGTCCCGGGCCGGGCCTTGCCCCCACCCTGCAACTCCTGGTTGAGATGGGCTCAGCCAAGAGCGTCCCAGTCACCCCAGCGCGACCTCCGCCGCACAACAAGCATCTGGCTCGAGTGACGGACCCCCGTTCACCTAGTGCTGGCATCCTGCGCACTCCCATCCAGGTGGAGAGCTCTCCACAGCCAGGCCTAGCAGCAGGGGAGCAACTGGAGGATCTTAAACCTGCCCAGGACTCAGATCCCCGTTCTCCTACTCTTGGTATTGCACGGACACCTATGAAGACCAGCACTGGAGACCCTCCAAGCCCACTGGTGAAAGAGCTGAGTGAAGTATATGAAACTGAAGACTCTAAATCGAATCCTCCCCCAGAGCCTGTTCTGTCCCCGGAGGCATCTTTATCTTCTGAATTGGACCTGCCTCTGGGTACCCAGTTATCTGTTGAGGAACAGATGCCACCTTGGAACCAGACTGAGTTCTCCTCCAAACAGGTGTTTTCCAAGGAGGAAGCAAGACAGCCCACAGAAACCCCTGTGGCCAACCAGAGCTCGGACAAGCCCTCAAGGGACCCTGAGACTCCCAGATCTTCAGGTACAGAATCTAAAGGCAAGATGTAGGGAAGATAAGCCAGGATAATGTCCGTGGGTGAGTGTGGGAAGAATAAACTGTAAGCCCTAAAAAAAAAAAAAAAAAAAAAAAAAAAAAGAGTCATAATATGGCCCAGCCCACAGTCCAGTAATAGGAATATTCTCTCAATCTCCCCTTTCTCCACTCCTGCTAAATTTGACATGATCCCAGCCCCTGCTGAAGGACCTCCCTAAACTAGAGGAGAAATATGACACAACAGGATCAACATTGGTCCTTGGGAGGAAGGACGCCTGGTTTCTTGATCAGCTCTGGGTGACCTGGGGTGAGTTTCTTAAACTCTCTGAACCTACACTCTTCCTCCTCTATAAAATGAAGGGAATTGGACTAGAATTGGTCACAAAGGCTCCTTCGGCTCAGTGCTCCTGATTCTTGCTTGGATGGGCTGATTCTTGGCAGACAGACCTGGTCCCACCTACTAGTCATGGAAACTTGGCAAATTAGCTAAGCAATTTCCTCAGTTTCCACACCTGTGAAATGGGAGTAATACATGGGGATACAAATCTACTTGGTACGTTCTTGAGATAATGCACATAAGGCATTTTGCACAGTGCCTGGCCACAGTGAAGGCTCAAAACAAATGCTAAGTCTTTATTACTATTATTGTTTGCTATTCTGATTCTGAGAAGCACCCCTCAGGATGAATAAAATGTTATTATTTTCTTTCTTTCTTTTTTTTTTTTTTTAGAGACAGAGTCTTGTTATGTTACCCAAGCTGGATTTGAACTCCTGGGTGCAAGCGATCCTCCTGCCTCAGCCTCAGAAGTATTGGGGATTGATTGATTGATTGATTGATTGACTGATTTTGAGGCGGAGTCTCACTCTGTCAACCAGGCTGGAGTACAATGGCATGATCTCAGCTCACTGCAACCTCTGCCTACTGGGTTCAAGCGATTTTCCTGCCCCAGCCTCCCAAGTAGCTGCAATTACAGGCACCCACCACCACGCCCAGCTAATTTTTGTATCTTTAGTAGAGATGGGGTTTTGCCATGTTGGCCGGGCTGGTCTCAAACTCCTGACCTCAAGTGATCTTCCTACCTCACCCTCCCAAAGTGCTGGGTCCCCGTATTTATTTTTAAATGTCGCATCTAGTGACACTGATCCCCATTTTCTCCTGGCCACCGAGATCTCTGGGCAGTTTGCCTTGGTTCCTGAGCTCTGCCTCCCACCTCAGTGCCGTCCTTACCAGGAATAGGCTGATGGGAGGCATGTGGCCCCTCAGCCTCTCGAGCTCTCCAGGGGTGGGGATGGGAGCTGGAAGGGATGAGAGGTCAGCATGCTTGCTCTCCCTCCAGGTCCCTCCTCCCTTTCTCTCCCCACTCATCTTCCACTCATTCTCTCAGAAAGCACAAAAAAGTTCCAGCCCAAACTCAACATGTGTAAATACTGTCTTTTTCTCACCACTTCAGTGCAAATGCCATTCTGTCTCCAATTTGCCAGAAACTAAGCTCCCAGACCCTCGTTCCTTTTATTACCGCCCTGGCTCTTCCTCCCCTCAATTTCTGTCCCCGTACTCTCCCTCTCAGGAAGTCTCCTCTCTGGGACATAACTAGCCCCTTTCCTCCTCTCTTGGGGCCCCTAGGATTCGCCTCCTCGTCACCCCTTCCACTCCCAACCCCAGTCCCAGAGACATCTCTGAAAACGCCGCTACCATTGCCTCTCTCTAGGTTTCTCGGGGACCTGCACGGCCAGCGGCTGTTGCCGTGGAGACCCGCCTGCACCCGGGCCTCACCCTTCTCTCCAACCCCGCACCCCCGTGAGCTGAACCTCCCCCCACTAAAGCATGCGGGCGCGCACACGCGCAAGCACACACGCACACGCGCGCGCACACACAGATTCGGAATATACCTGACCTCTGTCTTTCTCCCTCCCCTCCTCCTGGCTCCCCACTCCGGTGCAGACCCGCAGGCTCACACACGGGTTCCCCCCACACTCCACCTACAGTCAGCCCCACATCATCCTGCCCCCACAATGATAAGAGGACACCAGAGCGCTCTTAAGTGACGGAAAAAGGGAGGTGATTTACTGTAGGTCCCGTTCCCCAAGCATTACCATTCCCGCAGCCCTCACGCGCCCCCTCCCAGGCAGGCCCGGCTCCGGAGAGGCTGAGACTACAACTCCCAGCAGGCTAAGCAGCCCGAAGTCCCAGGCTGGAGGAACAGAGCACGCCGGGAGATGGAGTCTCGCCGTGCTGCACCTGCCTGCCGCAGGACCCGGCGAGGGGAGGAGGATAGATGGAGAAGATGGAGTGCGGGTGCGGCGGGAGCAGCCTGCAGGGCCTCTTTCCCCAAACCCAAGCCTTTCCGTCCTCTGTGGAAGCGAAGGGACACATGCTCGTCCACTGCCCTTCTCCGAGGTCCGTCAGAGAAAGAGCTCCCTCCTCCACCCCCTGCCTCCTCCCCACACCGGGCTCTGCAGCTCCTGCCCAGACATCCAACCAGGAGTTGTTCCAGGCTTGGCCTGACCAACGTGACCTAGCGGGGAGAGGGGTGAGAGAGGGCGGGGCTGGAGAGAGGGCACTGGGAGAAAGCTATTGTCCACATGTGTTGGCAAAAATAATGACCTGCAAGCAGTATGCAAATAAGCTTAGAGGCACCTCCCTCTTAGGGTAGAGGCGAGGAGGGCACCGGTTTTAACAAGTCTCCAGGTCCTCGCCTCCCTCCCCGCTACCCTCCTTCTGCCGCGCCGGGTCACTCACTCACCACCTTCCAGCGATCCTTGACCACGTAGTTGGCCGGCAGGATGTCGGCCTGCTCCCCTCCCCCACTCATGTTGGTTTCGTCCTTAAGGGCGGCCGCTAGGCACTGCATCCGCCAGCCAGAGGGAGGGGTGTCCGCAGGGCCTGCCCTGAGGGGGCCATCTACCTAGGGGAGTGCGGAGGGACTGTGAGAGCGGGCTGCGGACCCGGGACCACCTGGCAGACGTGGAGGAGAGGAGCTCCACTCCTGCCCCGCATTCTCCCTGGGCCCACTGGACAGATGCTCCAGGAGTTACCAAGGGAAACATTGTGTAAAGGCCAGTGCAAGGGAAATACAGACTACAAACTGGAGATGTTTAAAATCAGCAATAGGACACACATGTTGACCAATAAAGAAGAGGAAAATGACAGCGAACAGGCGGAGGGGAAAGAGACATATGCTAACTGATGCCGGGAAGACTTGCTGACTAAGAGACTGGGACCCTCTCCCTTGTAGGGGAGTCCCTGTGCCACAAAATGTCCATGGAGCTGTGCAACGGAGACTTAGTGAAAAAGGAAGACCTGCCACCCAAAGGGCCACCTCTGGGAGACCCACACCAAAGTGACCTGTTAACCCTGGGAGATGTGGTAATCAAGAAAATGAGGGGAGGCACTAAAGCCCCTTGAGGGCGGTGCTAACTGAGGGGGATGCAGGTGCTGAGAGGCACACACCTCTCAGGGAGAGCTGAAGCCACTGACACAGCCATGGGGTTGGGAGGTCAGGATATGAGAGATGGAGTGAACACAGGTGATGGACTCAAGACAATGGATTTCAGATGGACAGCAGCCTTGTGGTCAGTCCAGAGGGACAGAGGTGGGTTGAATTGGGGGAGGGCAGAAAAATGAAAGGGGCCTAGCAGAAGGCAGGAGGAGTGACAGGGAACAGCAGGTCTGGGTGGGCATGGGGTGAGAGAGCCTCTGACCACACCTTTCTGGGTCTGCTTAGGAATCAACAAGAAAGAGCCCAGCTCTCCTCAAATTAGGTTAGGTAGAAGTTGAATATCAGGCAGAGCTTCCCAGTGGTGAGGGTTGGGAAAGCCAGGCACATGTTATCAGAGAAATACCCGTGTGTGTGTGTGTGTGTGTGTGTGTGTGTGTGTGTGTGGCGCGCATCTGCGCATATGTCTGTGTGTGTATCTGTGCATGTATCCTTCTGTGTATGTATTTCTGTGTCTATCTTTTCCATGTGTCTGCGTGCTTTTCTACATGTATCTATGTGTCTGTATGTGCTTGTGTGTGTTTTGTGTCTGTCTGTGTGTGATGTACATGTGTGTAGGCAAGGGGCCAGAAGAGATGACTTTCTGAGATCTCTGCCAACCCAGGACAGGATTTGGAACCAGGATATTGTCCTGTTCTCTTTCTCTCACACTTTTTACAAGCACACTACTGTGCCCTCACAATGACGCTGGAGAGTCGCAAATAGGGAAAGAGGGAAGTTACTAAGGCTATGGTTTGAGGGTTGCGCGTTGGGGTAGGAAGGTAGCTAAAGAGATCTACAGGTGGGGTAGAAACCACATAAACCTGCCTTTCCTTGGGATGGGATAACGTCCCAGGGCTCTTTCGTCTAAACATCTGCCATAGGGGACAGGGTGGGACATGAAGGTGTGAAAACCACCTTCCAATGTCATGATATGCCATGGCGGACATATGCAGAAGGGGTCTTCATGGAGAGAGGTGCTGCCACTCTTTTTCTCCTCCTTCAAATGACTAAGCTGAGCTGTTTCCTCCAACCCTTACACCTTCAGAGCATCAGGACTTCCCTCCTTCTGCCAAAGTGGGATATGGGGCATCAGGAATTTGGAGGGCAGTGAAGGCAATGGCAGGATGAAGGGAGAGGTAGGGATAGGGGTTCTGGAATAAAGGTGGAGGAAACAGGTTGAGGACGAGACTGAAGAAGCAATGGAACTGGCAGGAGAGGGCCTTCAGAAGTTGAACTGGGTGAACTCTGGGCAGTGGATCTGTTAGGTTGGTTAGGAAATTTTGTGTCCTGATCCCATTTTATAGATGAGCAAACCAAAAAGAAACAGGTGAGGCAGAACAAGGGAGAGTGGAGCCAGGAAGATAAATGACAGTTACCTGCCTCTCCCACTCCACCACCCTTCTGTCTGCATCCGAGGACTACCCTCAGCTCAGACTGGGTTGGATGATACAAACATGGGACACTTGGCTGCCCTGTTACTGCCACCTCAGGCCTCTGTGTGTGCGTGGAGGCATGGGCACATGGTGAGGGTGAGGGCTTGTGCAGGAGTTTGTGTGAATATCTGTCGG